GGGGGGGAGGTCGCCATCTTTTGTCTGACAGTCGCGCTGCGAGTTCCTGGCCTACTAGCTCTGGCTGGCACTTCGGCAAGCTTCCGCATGGCTCAGGCTCGTCAGCGTGCTCCTTAGACCGCAAGAGGCGCCTCAAGGGCAATGCCAGCTAACGAAGATGAAGATCAAACAAGGCACCAGGCTTCTGCCTTAGGAGTCGGCAGTTGGCTGCGAGCTTCAGTGCAGCTTAGCTAACCTTTCTAGGCTCTGTGCTGCGGAGTGGTCGACGGACTGGCATCCAGCGATCTTAACCTAACAACTTCCAAGACAATGCAGCTCACTTGAAACGGCCTAGCCCAAGCCACTGCAAAACCAAACAGTCTCGGACATACTCACGTTTCCTGCTTCAGAAGCTGGCGACATGTTGACTCTGATCATCTAAAAAGCTTCTCTTCTGACATATCTTCATTGCTCTTCATAGTCATTGAAAAGGCCTCGGCAAAACTGAACAAGCGATGCTTGGTTGTTATTAGAGTTATTAGACTCTCACACTCGGCACGGCCAGGAAAGGAATCGTGTCCCGAGTCTCAACAACGACAATGCACAGAGCTCAGGAATCAGGTACAGGGCAAGAAAAAAGTCCACTGCGCTATTTCCTGCCTTGCTTAACACAGCTCCACCTCGGATACTCGAGGTCAGATGGAAAAACTAACCAAGGAAAATACACCAAGCTCCGCCACAACCTGTTCCAACCCTTCTTGTGGAAGCAGCCCTGTATAGCCAGAGAAGCGATTTAGCTGCGCTGACGACTGGTGGAGGGAGGTTGACAACCCCCCTGCCGCCAGCCGGCTGGCTTCCTGTCGCTTTCCAAGCGAATCTCGGTATCACTCAGCGGCCACTAGAAAGCGAGAACCTGAAGTGCTCCTCCATCGGCACGATGCGCTGCGGTTTCGTAGGTCTTGGGCGGAAAATATAGGTAGTCAGCTTCGTCATCGCTGAGAATCTCCTCGCAGCTGAGCCTTCATGAACCTTGTATAAATCGTCGCCAGCCCGGTCGAGCTTGAATCGGCATTTGTGGAACCCTCCTTGACATGGTTTGTGCTATTGCTGCTATTGCTTGCTCAATCCGACATTTCATGAGGCTGCTTGAGGCAACATCTCCAAACTGACTTCGAACCTCGCTCGTTTATGTGTGGGTGGCATTGCCCTGGCAAGAGTAGCCTTGTCATACGTTCACCGCAGACTGAAGTTGACATGCTTCTTCGATGAAAGAGCCTCTTGCATTCATTGGTGTGTTCTGGGGCAGTTGCTCTACAGCCCTAACTCCCAGCAAATCTCCGTCGCCCGGATGTCGGCTGCAGATATCCTTGTGGATGCTTGGTCTTTGAAGTTCGGCTTGCCTTCTGAAAGCCCTGCTGGCAGCTGTGACTGCCCCGTGTGCGCGCATCTAGAGTCATGCTTCCCTAGCATGCGCTCGCGCTCCGCTCCTCAGACGAGCTGGAATCAGAATCTTGCCAGCGCTGGAAGCAGCAGCACCACCTTTCGGTCAGCAGAAACGGCAAGAAGCCAAATGCAGCACTCTCTGCCTGGTCATGACAGGCTGCAGGACTGTTGTCAGGCCATCGCACAGTGGTGAATTTCGCCCCTTGGGCCCTAGTGATAGTGTCTCCCAAAGGCTTGCTAAACGTCAGCATGCCTTCGCTGTACAATGCAGGACATGAACCTAACTCATCACTGCGACTTGGGCAAGCTACGCGGCGGATGGAAGGTGGCCCAAGGCAGCGAGTGTAGCTGCACCGTGAAGGGATGCAGGCTTTCAAACGTGGCACTGTGACTCCGAAGCCAAATCGTTTCATGAAGCTGGAGGACGAGCCTCCTCCTGCAAAGCTTTCGAACTGATTGAATGCGCAGACAACTCTCCTCGTCTGACAGTGACTCCTCCTCGAGTGGTCCCGGCGCTCTTCGGTAACTGAAAAGGAAGCGGGCTGAGTTCGCCATCCTCCTCCTCTTCATCATCATCATCGTCCCTGGGGATTGCCGCACAGAGACAGGGCACTGCAGACCGGGAAAGGCAAGGCGCCGACCAGACGGAGTGCAGCTGCATGTCTTCACTGGCTCCCTCGTTGCTGTCTTGTGTACCCTGCGTGTCCAGCGTGTCCTGGCTGTTCTCCTGCGGAAGTTCCTGGCTGTCCTCTCCCTCCGGAAAGCTCTCAGCTTGGAACTGCAGCCTTGGCCGAAAGATTCAACACAGTAGATGTTTGTTCTCGACCAATGCGTCAGAAACCGCCGAGGCATGGACATTGCATGTGTCAGGCGGCGCTGGGCCGTGCTGACTGCTTTGTGCATCTTGCTGATGTTTTCGATCTAGGGACGAGGAGAACCCTAGAGTCGCGAGAAAGGCACGACAAGACCTGAGCCTGCTGCGATTTTGATTGATTTTTCGCTGACCACCTGCCAGCTTGCCGGCAGCTACTGCGGGCCATCCAACTGGAGCGGAATCGGGACTGTCGCGCCGTCTTTCGCCACTGGCCAATTTCTTTCCCCTGTTCTTCTGCCAACTGGGCGACACAAGAGGCCAAGCACTGTGCCTGCACTGCCCGAGGGGAATTTTCTGCTCAGGGTCCTTGCACTTTTCGCTTGAACCCGCATGGAGATGATCCGCCGCCTGCGACTCCCAAACAAAACAAAAAGCACCCAGTGGGCCAGACGGGCCAGGGCAAGGGGGCGCGGCTGGGCATCCTGCCAGAGGCGCTGGTAGGCCTTGCCACACGCGCTTGGAAAAGGCATGCCAAAAGAAGCAAAACAAAAAAAGGAAGACGACTCTGAGCCACGGACGGACCGCTTCTTTTTCTTCTTTTTCACTGGAGTCCTTAGTGGCACCAAAGACTCGGAGCACTTGTTTAAACACAGTCTCAACAAAAAACAAGCAGGTGGCAGCTTGATTTTTTCCTGGACTTCGCGTATCGCCTGCTCTCCTGTTAACAGCGCGCAGCTGTCGTCACCACCAGCTCCATATTGTGTCGATCACTCCTCCAACTTCCTGGAGCTTTTCTGTCAGGACCTGGACCTCCGTGCGAACGGCGCGGAGTCTCAGCCTTGCTACGACTCCTGCGGCAGGCGATTGCACCTGCTGGTTCAACTCTGTGATCTTATTCTCCAAATCGATCTTCTCCTCAGAACATAGCAAGATGGCATGTAGTGAATGTAGTGTGTCAAGCTCCCCGTATACCTGTTTCCCAGCAGGCCATGCACAGCGATGAGGAATCGAACCATATCACGCAGCTGAGAAGCGTCTTCCAGCGCCGTGCACTTGTCCTTCCACCCACCGTCACGTGCAGCAGGAGCCACGATTTTGTCTTTCTCTTTCTCGACCGTCACGACTCGCGTCACTGTCTGCACTTCCGGGCCTCAGAATCAAAGCAAGCACAGCCTTTCCAAAGCCAGCAAGTCCCTGTGTCGCCGGCTTTCCTTGGATGGACTTACCTTGGAGGCCTTGGAGCTTGGAGGCCCTATTGTGTCAGTGTAGCCCAGGGCCTTCCAGGGCCCATGATGTCCACACCCCCGCCTTCGCTTCAGTTCTCTCTGCAAGCGCAGCCTTGCAGAGGAACACATGAAGACATGCGCCGCATGTTTCCTCGGCTGGCCTGCGCTTGCTGGGCCTGCACAACAGGAATCCAAGCCCCGCAAAGCTGTCCATCTAATTCCAGCCATTTTTTCTCGACGCAGGTCGTGTGCACACACGGTAGCCGCGTCCATCGCGTGACGCGTAACGGGGCTGCCTGCGCCGGGAAGTCTGAGGCATGCAGACCGAAACATAAAACAGTCGGACTGCTGCAGAGATCCTGATGAGTCTTGGACTGGAGTCTTTTGGCTTGCTGCCGGTCGCTCACGATCCTTTCCACTTGATGGCAAGGAATAAACGCTGAACATGTGCCCCGTGAATCTGATAGTCGATCAAGCCCAGATCGACATTGGCAGATTCAGAGGACAAGAGCTATCGCTTAACACTACATGATTGCCAGCGGGCACTGTTGGCCTCTGCAACTCCGAAACATAACCAAAACCTGTTGGTCTTTCTTGTCATGGGCGTATAGCCTTATACGAGAGATGCAAGCTGCTGGCATGGCACCGTTGCAGATCTGCATGGCTCGCGGCAGTTGTCTCGCTCGGCTAAATCTGTGGCTGCACCGCGTGCCAAGCAATCCGAAAAAGGCCCACGACACTCCTCCCTTAGGAGAACAACTTCCCATGTTCTGGGTCTGGCTGAATGGTTTCCACCACATCACTCCACATCACTCGTCCAGTCCAGATGCCTGAATAGGAAACCATCGTTTGTATACATGGGGACCTATGGGCCCGTGCCTGCCTTCTGTTTGAAATGGTATGACCTGGCGGACACAAATGACGGCTTCCATCGGGCATCAGTCGCTTCGACATAGAATTTGTGAAACAGCTTGGCCATGACTGACACTCAGCGACTTAGCTGTCACTGCAGCTGGAGAACCTCGCCACTGCTAGTTAATCTGACACGATGCTTTGCCTCACCTAGGCCTGGGCAATTTCCGAATAAGCTGGTTCTCACCCGCTGGGCTGCGCACGGATGTTCCGCACACTTGCTGAGTAAGTGAGATGGTGAGACAGGTCACAAACTGTCACAAACTCTAGCGGCCCCTCGACTCATACCACAAGTCATTTAAGATCCCTGCAATGCAAGGAGCACGTAGAACTATGAAACGACTACAACGTCCGTTAATTGGATCAATGACCTGGGGTTCCGATTCGAGAGGCGGCAGGCCATTAGCCCTTCCTTTGATGTTTTCCGCTTCTCCGCTCAACAGCAAAGCTGTCGCAAGTCCCGCTCGCCTCAGAACTCGGGTTGAAATAAAGAGCACTCTTGCAATGCCACAAGTTGGGCAACCATGCCAGCGCCATGCGATTGCAGCCGGCTCTACTTGAATGCCAAGGTGCGACTACTGCGAGTGCGTATGGTGGGCCTCGGGCAGAGCTGCGTGCGTATGCAACATGCCACAGGAACAACCCTCGAGTACTGTCGAACAGCAAGCAAGCTGCACCGGTGGTTGGCGGCCGCATGCGAGGATCTGAGCATTGGTCGCATCCGTCTCTCTTTCTACGCAGCGCCGTGCTCCATCTACATCCAAGCACTGACACAGCAATGCGGGCTGCTGCAACACCGCCTGCATGATGGGATGAGCCTCTGCGCACCGATGGCATCGAGGAGAGGTACTCATCCTGACATGCTTCCAGTGGCCGTCAACGTGAGGAACGCCGCCAACACCAATCAATACGATCTGAATTGACTCAAGGTGCAACCTTGACTCCCAGTTAAAACAAGGAACTTCTAAGTGGAAGGTCAATCCTTTTCAAGCCGAGTTGCTGCAATCTGACGGACTGTGTCCCGCAGCAAGTCATGGAGCTCCTCTTTGTTGCTCGCGTCGCCAAGCGCCACACGATCCTGATCAATAGCTCTGGGAAAGCTCCAGTTCCAATAGCAAGACTTGTCTGCAGCACGGGTGCCTTTGAACCCCGGTATCGCCTGCAAGGAGTTTTGATTCGGAGGCAGTTTGATTTGAATTCACCTGCTCCTAGAACGTACCTGGTGCTCTCAATCATCCACTGCAAACATCGCTCCAACTTGAAGACGACACGTCTGAGAGCATTGCTGAGTGCTGGAAATCCCAGGCGAAACGACACCACCACTGGAGGCAGCCATGCTGTTGGACCTGTCCGCTGGCCAACAAACTCCGGGTGTGCAAAAGCACCGTGGCAAGAGAGACTCGTGTGATTGTACCGATCTGGCCGATGCTTGGGACCGGGCTTCCGAAGCAGCGAGTTTTGCTCGGCGTGCACCTGCATCTCGGGGGGGCTGCTTAAAGCTGCTACTGCTACAAGTAAAGAAGCGTCTGCATCCAGCAATGCGGATGTAGCATGCGGGTCATATTGCGCAGGCCGTGCAGAGTGACGTGGGCGATGGCAGTTGCTGCTGACCTGCCTTGCTTTGTCTTTCCAAAGCCCAGTCAATGTCCAGCTTCTCCTGTCAAAGGGTACGACATGATGACGAAAGACGGGGGAAGGCCTGGGGAGTCTAAAAACTGCATTCAAGAAGGAAAAACCAAAACCAGAAAGTTGCCACGCTTTCAGCACGTGTACACCCTGTTGGAGACCCCTATACAGGCCCAAGTCGGATCAACATGCACAGCTACGACGGCTCCTCGAATTCTTGGCGGGAGACCTGGCCGGTGTTGTCAGCGTCCATTTCTGCCCACAGGATCATCCTGTCGGCTTCGTTGACCTTAGACTTCTTTCGGCTTTGCACTGCTTCAATTTAGGCCAGGACCGAGATCCCGGCACCAAGATACTTCAACACCCACTCGAAGGACTTGGCCTTTAAGATTGGCTCCTCCCCAGGCATCCTCAGACCATCGTTTTTTGTTGCGACGTGGAGCGTGAAACTCAATGATCGAGCCCAGTCACACATCAGGGCCGTTGCCCTGATCACAGAACCACTCGAAGGCTTCCTCTGTGCTGCAGACTTTCACTTTCCTCGGCATATCCAGGCTTTGGTTTCAGTCCAAGGGCACCGTCGAGTCACGGCAAACAGGAGTCCCAACAAAAGCGGCCAAAAGACTTGAGCAGTCGTTCCGCAACGTGTTGCCACGATGTTGACGGCCTCAATGCGTTCAACACAACTGCGATGTTGGAGTTGGCAAGTGTAGTGTAGCAGCAGCTAATGGATTGACAAATGCCATCTGCAATCTCTAAAAGCACGTGAGCTTTCGAGGGCTCCGGCTCCAGTTTGAAGACTCGCACCATTGATTGAACCAAGGTTGTGAAGGCCTGCAAGGGGCCACACATGATTGCAAGGACTTGCTGCCAGGCTCGCACACTTTGCAGTGCGCGTGTGCTACCCCATCCAAGCGGCCGTGTGCCGCACGCTGCTCTGGTTTTTCGTGGGAAACTCCCACGAACTTCTCCAGCCTCGGGGTACTCGTCCCGCATGATCTCCACGGTGTGATAAGGGAGCACCTCGTGCCCGGCCCCATGCAAAAGCCGCTCTCGGAACAGAGTCTCTTAGCTTCCCTCGTTCCTGCACCCAAGACGCTGAAAGGACGCAATATGTCTTGGCCATAATCCATGCTGCTCTCGGGCGTGCTGTAAGCATCCCGAGCTCACCGAAGTACTTGCCGGCCGTGTATTCCTTAAAATGCAGGGGCCCGGCCCAGAAGGGCGTCTCTCGCGTCTCTGACGGCCTCCATCCTCCACGACTCTACGAGATACGAGGCGAGCGGCCGCCACTTCTGAGGACTCTCCCCACACTGGTGGGCACTCCGGACCACTGGGATAGACGCCTGCCAAAGCGCTGATGGGGACTCGGGACGATTCGTCGATTCGTGCCCGAAACCCTGTTTGCGTACTTTTGCAGGTGGCCTGCCATTCCGCGCCGCATAAAAAAGAGCTCGCGGCCGGTATCACCTCAACGTTAGGCATCGCCACTATGTTCTTTGAGATACTATCGTAACAGAAACACAGGCTCGTATCCGCTTGTGCTGCTGGGGTGCCGCTGCACACGATGAAATCCGCAGGCAAGTAGACCAGGTCAGACAATGAATTAACCATCAAAGAAATAACCTAAGGGGAGTACGCATGGCTGCGGAGAGCTGCCACAGAGAACGACATCGCAAACAGGAAATTCTATATCTTTCCATAAGACTACGGAAGGTAAAGATTGCACCCTCTCTGTCTTTCGGAAAATATCGAAGATAAAGCCTCACTCTCTTGGTTTGTACAAGACGGCCCAGAGGCTCTCTCTTTCATTCTCCTTCCCTCACACTCGGCTTTGATTCATTGTGTCTTCTCGGATGGAACACTGCAATGTGTTGTGGCATCTCTTGCCAGTCCAAGAAACATGCTTTTTCTGCTCCCTGAGAAAGGGAGCCTTCAAGATCAGTTTCCTGTACGCGGCTAGCCGCAGCTCCTCGATTCAAAACTGACATGATTGGCCCAAGCAGGCAACAAGACAAGGGCAGTCACTATCACTGCGAAGCTGTCATCCTGAATCAGTGGTGTGGACAATCCGTGAAATGCAGGCTGGTCGAGATCTTCTTCTCGGTGAACATGCTGCACAAAGTCTTGATACGCCAGCACCTCGGCTACTGTACTCGCGTGATACGGGGGTGAGGTGTCTGCTGTGCTACCCTGTTCAGCCGTGGAGACAGAAAGTTTTTTGGATCCTGGAAGTTCTTCAATTAAGACAAGTTGCGCGTTCCTCCAACGAGCCAGGCACCTCAGGACATAACACAGCCGACCTGCACGCCCTTTGTGCCTAAAATCCCCAATTTCCCTTCCCGCGTGCCTGGAGATGGCGAAGCGCCACCGATGTTTGCGCTTTTTGCGACTGATTCCTCGGCCGGATGCCATGCAAATGCTTCAGTGGGCTGTGACCAGTCGGCGCGATGATACTTCGGCACATGGTCTGGCTGCGTGCTTCCCGGGTGCTTTGTCTCCTCTATGTTGTGCAAGGACGTCAGCCAAGTGACGTCCGCACATACCTGGCACCATAGCTTAGCTTGACCTATCTGGCCGTTTGCAAGCACATCAACCTTGCCTTCGCCACGAATAGCTGGCCGAGGATCAGCAGGAAGGAGTTGAGACCTCTCTCTGCTGGAGTCACCAGAACATCACCTGCGGTGACCGACTCAAACGCCTCGCCCTAGAATGCAACGTCATGCGGGTGGAATATTGCAGCACGGATGCCATACCCCACTGAAGTAACACCTCGGCTGCTACTCGCACGAAAAGCAACGGGAGAACAGGATTCTAATCAAAGGAGTTTTCCAGTCACCACTTGATATTTCTGTCTCTGTACCGAGTAGCTCAGTGAACTGAAATAAAACGCCTCCTCGTACAGTTCTATACAGCTTTCGCCCGCAGCCACCATGTTGTCGATCCAGCCTGAGCACATGCTCATACATGCTTCCTGGACAGGCTAAGCTGCTAGGCTGACAGGGCTGTTGGACACGAAGGGTTCGATGAACGAACCCGGGACCTAGATACTGGTGCAGACGTGCAACTCTGGGTGTTTGCAGCCCGCTCTTGCGCGGCAAGAGCCAGGAGCCTCAGAGACGGCAATAGCCAGTTTCAATCGACAAAGTATTGGGGCATTCTTTGGGCGCCCCTCGGATCTGACAACTCAAAGCGGAATGACTTCGAGCTCATTATGAAGCCGAGGCACACGACTCCAGCCAAATGCGACATTAAGACCAGCAGAAAGAATGAGCTTGCAAGCCCACGGGCGAAAGAGTCTGCCCGGCTGTCCCTCAGTAGGAGACGAAGTCACGGAGCAACAATCACTCTGAGAAAGAAGCCAAGCCCTGTGCAACACAAAAGTCGTTGGCACAACGAAGCGCCACAGCTTAATGAGCTGCAGCAGCATCAGCCATAGCACTACGCTCGGTACCTGCGCCAGAGATACCAGCAAGCAAGTGCGGCGACTGCTAGTTGAAAGCACGGCTGTGGCTAAGGCTTCGGCCGCTGAACTTGACTGGCCGAGATGCACCATCCTTTGGTTCATGCATGTTACGCTGCCTCGTCTCGTCCCTTGCTTACGTACTGAATTTTTGTTGATTGTTCCAGCCACATGACTTCCTGCCACGTCCAACAACCCTCGCTGCCGCCAAGAATCTCTGCCACCCAACCAAAGAAAGCCAGCAAGTCCAGAGACAGACTCTTCAAATGGAACGCACACCTGTGGAACGTCGCGAAATTGACGCTGAGCGCTTGCGGGCAAATGGGTCTCGGTAGTTCTGGTCTGCAGCTGTGCGCACCTTCAACCCGGCGTTTTTTGTCACTGCACTGTACACCGTCTTTCCACCTTATGAACCTGACATTAGACTACAAAATACACGGCACGACACCAGGTAGCCAGCCCAAGTTGCGGGGAGAGCCACCTGACCTAATGAAACGGTTGATGTCCAATGTGCTTTGCACTTGTACGATAACTTCTTCCGCAGAATATGGCTGAAGCACCGCAGGTGAGGCGGACTGTCAACACCTTTGGCCCATCAAATTCTGTCACTTCATCGAAGCATCTCCGTCGCAGGGGTCCGTTCTCCCTTGCACCATGCCACACTCCCCCACCTCACCTGAGCACTCCAGGTACCTGCTGAATTCGGACTATGTACATGCACGGTTTGAAACCGAATCACCAACCATGCGCATCATTGCGCCGCTGGGGATCGAACATTTACGAACTACAAGCTGAGCTTGAAAGCTCCGCTCTGAGATTGTGAAAGACCTGGTATCTTCGTGAAACGTCGTGACACTTTTCCTTGTCCTTGCCTACTGGCATCGTGGACCAGACCCAAATGTACGGTGCAAGGCGGCATTGCCTGTTTTGTGCGAAGTCTCGGGATGTGCGATACAGTCCACGTGCCTCTACCCTAGATCAACTGAAAACACCAGATTCAGGACTCAACCGCTTTGAAGTCCATCACTGTTGATCGCTTGTTGAAGTCTGCAGCACCTCCTGAACAGCTTCACGTGTCCAACGATGTTAGCATAGCAACCCCGCGCTTGATCCAATGAGATTGGTCAATGTCACTGAGGATCTTGATGGGCATCACAAAGTTTGTCGAATGTCCGGTTGTAGACAACACTCCCTTTCTCGTCGAGACTTTGTAACACGGGCACTCATAGTGAGGGAAGTCACGGATTTTCGTCTTCTCCTGAATTCAGGCAACAGTTGGAGAAGCGGCCGCCGTGCCCTGAATGGCACACCCTTGCCATCCAACCCTAAATCCCTAAACCTACCGTGTCGTCCCGAATGCTTCACCCTGCAACTGGGAAGGACCTGAGCTCGAAAGCTAGAGCAGAAAGCGGCCCTGCTGCTTCCGCCAAGAGTCGCATGGCATGAGGTGGATCAGCGGAACACTGGCATACAGCACTTTCGGCTCGGACTCCGCCAGCTTCCACCCACTCCAATCCCAACGGCAAGCTTCAAAGAAAAGCCCGTAGGTGTAGACTCCATCATCAGGCTTCACAGAAAATTCCTGCTCCTTGGGATAGAAGAAGTCGAAAGTCAGAGTGTCTATAGGAATCTGGTACTTTCGGGCAAAGTTTTGCGAGGCTCCTGTTGTGAAGGCCTGCGTAAAGTAGATGCCACTGAACCAGAACATGACAGGCGCTCCGTTATCCACCCACTTCTGGAAGAACTTTAGTCGCTCCACGAGGTCGTTGACATAGCCGCCGAGGGGCTTCAGGGATGGATAAGAATGCTTCAGCCACATGGCTGGGGTCTTGCCATCGAAAATCTCGAAGAAGGCCGTCTCGAGCTCCGCACTCATAAGCAGAAGACCTTTCACTGCTTTCTGAATGTCCTTGAGAGAGTTCTGGATGACTTTCAGCAATCCATTGAAGCGCTTCAGCTCCTGAGCCAGCACCGTGTTCATGCTTTCCTCGTAGAGGGTCGGGTATTTCTCCTGAACCTTCGCAACATCCCAAGGCTCCGGCAGCCGTGACAACACATCCTTGGCAATATCTCCCACAACTACATCGGGGGACGAACCACCCCCACTGCTTCCAGACCCCGCTGTGAGCAGCAATTCCCGCATCATGTTATAGGTCTCTCCCATCTCCTTCGTGAGGTTAGCATTCTCGTGGAAGCCAAAAACACCCGGCGGAGTCACCAACGGAAGGCTGCGGATGTGCTCTAAATGCACTTCGTACCCGCCGTCGGGTGGTAGCTGGTATGTTGGACCATCTGATTCCTGATAGAGGATGAAGCTATCCTCCAAAGCCTCATGGCAGTAGTAGCTTTTCAGGAGCGTGGCTAGCAGCCGTCGGTCCATGGCCTCCGTAACGCGCCCGCCGTAGTTGCACTCGCCCGTCAAGTAGTTCAGAGCCTTGATGGGCGCCTCATTTGGGTACTCATCCAAGAACATCTGCAACTGTCGAACTGAGATGCGCAAGTCGTTCTCGGTAAACCTCAGCCGGAGATTTATCAGAAGTTGTAAGTTCCTTTTGGGAAATGGCACACACACATCTGCCGAGGGGCTCGTAGGCGATGTTCCAGCCCAGCGGCCCGAAGAGTCGGCGCTCTTGGATCACGGCGTGGAAGAAGCAAAGGTTGAAGGCCAGGCGCTTGAACTCCCGGCCACAGGTGCAGGCTTCGAAAAACTCCTCATTGCTGATGGGGTCCATGTTGTAGGAGCCCGTCATGTTAGCCCGCAAGCCTTTGGGAGCTTCATTCGTCATCTTCACGCCATTCTGCAGAATTGCGACGGGGAACCTGAAGATTTGCGTGTTCAGTGCTTCAGTCAAGCTACAAGACGTTGTGATGGCTTATCGGCTTGGCGCAAACACAACTCACAAGTAGTTGCTGAAAGTGACAAGGCACTTGTTGGACGGATAAGAAGTGAGCCAAAGGCGGAAATCCTTGTGAACCTTTTTCGGGTCCTTCTCATCCAACAACCTCTCCAATCTGGGCATCCAGGACGTTGCCAAGTGACAATTCTGGAGGAGAACCCATCCACCGTCCTGCAGAACACGATGCCGAATACGAGTGCTGACTAAAAAAATAACCACGAACCTGTCCTTCGTAGCGATGTCCATGAGTCGTTCCGCCTTCGGTCCTTGTCCCTGCCCCAGCGAGATGGAAGCAACCTCGCGGCCTTTCCTTGGTTGTGCCAGAGGGTGCAGTCCATGTGGACTCTTACTCTCCAACCCTAAATCTTGGATCTTCCAAGTCAGGCCAAGCATCTCGCCGGCGAAACGATACAGGTTGCTTCCTGGATCTGCGCCTGGTGACAAGATGAAGATCAGAGGCGACATGGCCTTGGCAACGATGGGGTTGGTCGCCCAAGCAAGCGCAGTGGAAAGCGGGAACGAGGAGCTAGCCGATCTAAAGAACGGTCCCTGAGCTACAGTATGGAGTATTAGAACTGGATGGCCAGGTGGCGTTGGAGTCCGCATAGGACCCGGCCAAATCAAAAGGTGGAGGATTCACAAACTTCTCACCCAACTTGCCCGCGACGAACTCCAACACAGCAGGAACCACGCGGTCGGGACGTATGCACCGCAGGACCATCAAGTCCTAAGTGAAGAGTGCTGAAAGCCGTATCTACAAACTCAATCGTCCAAGCGCACAAGTAGAAGCTTCCTAGCCTAGGATCCTGAAAATCGTTGAAGCCATCCATGGAGTTGGGCCGTGTTCCCGCGTCTTTGAGAAGTTTCATCGGGTTGACATCATCGTACACCTGGAATGCATCGCACAAATACGGCTTCCAAGAGGATTCCACGACTTGCCTATTGCAGTGCAGCTACCGTGGGACTGGGAGGGCCTAGATGTGCCTAGCGCTGTCAGGCCGCCTTCTTCCACACGCTAAGCTCCGCTGCAAACTTTTCATGGAAGCCTTGATAGAACTCCTTGCTCTTGTGCAAGCGGAAGAGCTCTCCCCAGCAGCGGTCAGGCACCCACTTTTCGGGTATGGGTGGCGGGTCTTCCAACGACACTCCACCGGTGAGCAAGAATCGGTAGTCGTCGTAGTCGGCCTCGTCGGATGCCAGGAGAAGGCGCATGCACAGAAGGAATGAGAAAAGGGTCTTGTGCTTCTCGAACAAGCTTCGGCAAATGTTACAGTACAGCGTGTAGCGGAACGTGTCGTTCAAGTTCTCAATGCGAACCTCCAGATCATCACTCTTTTCTGCCTTCTCAATCGCTGACAGGAAGAGGCTCACAAAGAAGGGCAAGCTGTATTGATACATAGGGTCAATGTTCGCCAGATCGGAGATGCAGAAGAAGAGAATTGCAGTCTTGAAAGCAACAGGCACATAGCCCAAGCGTGCCTCATCGATTTGCTTCTCAGTCTCTTCCGCTATCTCTTGTTTCGCCGCAATTTTGTTGGACAGAGCCTCGGTGCAAAAAGACGAAATGAACTTACAGATTACACAAGGCCGGAACATGAAGCTGACATTTCCTGCTAGAGCGAGCGGCCTTGCTGGAGCTGAGCACGTTGATGGCCGTCTCGTCCTCCAAGATGTTGCCCTGTGATGTCTGCAGCACGTGGAGAATCTTGTTCTCCGTCTCCTCCAGCTGTGCCTTGTTCTCAGCACCCTCCACCACCAGGCGTGCCTTGTCCTCCGCCAGCTCGGGACGCTCCGCTTGCACGACTATGTTCAACAACTGGTCCTGCACAAAAACACTGCATGCACCGTCACCCCTAACACCCTCTGCGAAGATCTATACTAACCCCCGGCCCCTTGTCTCGCACCCGGCCCTCGGCGGGCCTGAAGACCAACCACTGTAATCATGAAGTTCAACAGCGTGACTTTGACTGCAATCTCAGGCAAGTAATGCGGATTTCGGAGCTTCGTCGTCAAGTAGAACTTGAAGTCTTTGTTATACTCCAGAACGCTCTCCCCGAGCTTCAACATCATTCGGTTCCCTTGCTTGTAGGTCTGCTTCAGCAGAACTGGCTCAATAGCAGGATCCGTCTCCTCGAGGATGTTTTCAATCAACATAGGGTTCCCATAGGTGATACAACCCTCAAGACGTCGGATGTAGTCGCTGTCTGTGAACTTCTTCACTGCAAGCTTGTTCGGCTCCTCCATCTTCTTGATCCACTTGTTCGCCTGACCCTGGGGATCGATGCACAGCGGCCACCTGCGCGACTTGTCGATAATAATTCCGTTCTCAATGGAAAAGGCATCATTGGGTAGCCCACAGATGGTCCAGTTGCGGATCTTGACTGGCTCACCCAAACAATCCTCCAGGCTTACCTTTTCCTTTCCAGGAATCTGTTTTGCAAGGGATTGCTCTGTCCAGGACTTCACGGTTTTCTCTCTAAAGTCCGGGGTGAAAGCACCAAGATAGGCGATCAGTCCACTACAGACAATTACATCGCCCGTGAGGTTGACGTAGTCCACAGCTAAGTCTGCAGCGTTTTGGGTCCAACGAGTCTTCTCACCGCCGAGGGACTCGATCAGCGTCTCGGCTCGGTCCAACTTTTTCTTGCAAAGGTCAACTTGGTAAGCAAGATCGTCCTTCTCAGCATTGAGACCGTTCAGTTTCGCTTCAAGCTCAGCTAGTTCGTCCAAGACTTTCTGAAGCTGAGCTCTTTTCTCGTTCAACTTCTCCATGACCTCCGCATATTCCGCCTCCGCGATGGCGAGAGCCTCCTTCTTTGGGCCAACCACCTTTGCGACTCTGTCATATGTCTCCATAGCCCTGACCCACATGCAAATCCCCCACGCAGCTGTGCTGCAGCTTTTCACCCTCGCCGGTTGAAAGTCATCCAGCGGCACAAACGTTTGGATCTTCTTGATTGTAGCAGGTGGGATGTTGTCCTTATCGAAGGTCTGCAAAGACTTCAAGAAGTCCGACTCGCCGACCATCTTCACAGATGGACCCCAGAAGTCCTCGGCCATTTTGCCTGACTCATCCTTGACTCGATTGGGCTTGATTCCCTTCATGATGCACACGGCCTGCAGGACAAGCTTAACCGGACCCGGGGGGTTCTTCATGGCCTTGATCTCCCCTATATCCTTGGCGGAGAGGGTGTCCAACGCACCAAGCGCCTCCATCAGAGCTGGCATGGCTTCCTGAAGGTCTGCCTCCACTTCCTCCTTCTGAGCTTCGGATTTGGCGGCTGCTTCTGAAGCCACAGCCTCGTCTGCTGCCACTGCTTCCTTGACCTTCGCCGTCTTCGCGGACTCGCCCTCAACGACGACCATCATCTTCTCCACTTCTTCATTTTTTGCAATAAGCTTCGGCTGCAAGTTGATGAGCTCCACCTTCATCCCCTCAACAGACTGCTCGGTCGTGAGGATCTTGTCAAGGCCCTTCTCGTACTTGTCTTTCAGATCTGTGACTTGCTTGCGCTTGGCAGCCAGCAGCGTCTTGAAGGTTTGGATCAGCTCCAGGAAGGAAGTGGGCGTTGCATAATAAATTCGCTTCAATGAGTTCTTGAATTCCACCGCCAATTCCGTAGTCTCAGAGTGGAACAAGGAACACATTTCTACACAGCTGCGTCTGACTGAATCCTCCATCTCCACCTGGCCCAAGAAACGCTCCGCCACGGCCACCAGCGCATCTGCAGGCCACTCGGTGTACCAGTCGATGGTGCAGCAGTTCACCAACGATGGAAACTGGCGAATGCGTGCCCGCCAGGCATCTCCGATCGGAGAGAAGCAAAGGACGATGGCAAGCAATTTCTGACACCGCTCAACGAAATATGCATAAAGCTGCGTGGGGGTTCCCTCCGGCGCTTTTCCCTCCTGTCGAGCTGCTGCTCGCACCATTTCGCAGACTTGTACCCTCTCATCAGGAGGGAACAGGTTCGGGACTTCTCCCGTGTTCAGAAGATTGTTCAAATCCTCCACGAAGCCCTCACTCTTGATCTGAGAATCAGAGAACAGGAAAACTGTCTTTTCACCTTTGCCGCCCGCAGCCGTGAGCAGCTTCTTCAAGTCTTCGCGGAAAGCCAGCTGATCATAGCCACGCGCGATTTCAATCCTGGTTATGACAGAAGGTGAGCTAGTGATCTTTGCCGGGCATGCCACTCCTAGCAAAATAAGGCTACACGGTGCTGCTAAGGCTCTGGAAGACATCGAAATCAGCCAGGAAACATGCCAAACGGGAGCAGCTCTGGCGACCTGATCCGCCGACACCGACCAGCAGAGCATTGCCACCAGGTGTCTTGATGACTCGGGCGACCCGTGAGAGGTGCTCCAGCATATAGAGGAAGCAAACCAGATCCATTTTCTTGGTCGACATCAGATTGTATTGCTCAAGGTGTGACTCCACTGTCGTTTGGAGTGTCGGGATGTCAGCACATTCCGTGTATGGCCGATTCGGCGCAGCTGGCCGCGAGAGCATGTCTCCAAAGATGAGTGTGCGGATCTCATCCAGTGTGGTAACTTTACCATCTCCATCAAGGTCAAGATGCTTCATCACCTCATCGAAGCCTTGACCAAAGGTGTTCTTTGTCACTCCTCGAACCTGCTCCAACATCCACATCCTATCCTCGTTGACCACCAATCGGTCGCCAATCACGCGCCAGATTTCATGAACCCATAATCGGACATGCCTGGCAACTCCATCACACTCGCCTTTCTTCATGAGCAAAACACCGAAAATGATTTTCGCGAAATCACGCAAGTTGAAAGTGTAGTGCACCTCACAGCGGCAGAGACATGCAACCCAACGACGAAGCTATCCTCTTCTAACCCTAGGGCTTGCGCCATGCTCAACGGTCGCACCGGCCTTCAGTGGTGTGGGCAGCAGGTACTGCACTGCTGCCTTGTAGACCTCCAACGTGCCTGAAACAATCTTTTTGGAAAGTGAAGTTACTTCGGCAGGGTAACCATCTGCTTGCATCTTCCAATCCAGAATCGTCGAGAAAATCATCTTCATGTTGTCCTGAATGGGTCAAACTGCAATGGCACGAAAGCAACTTTGAACCGGACGTGTCGCGGCACAAAACCAAACGACAAGAGTGACAACAGGATCACACGAAATGCAACAGGCAAGGCTCGTCATCAAGCAGCGGGAAGCCAACCAAGTACAAGTGGCCCGTCATACGGGGCGTGATAAAGGTGCGCCCACCGCCAGGAGGGCCCATGGCTGCAAACAGTATGACATCGATGATGTTACAGAAAGGGTGCGTCACATCTTTGCGCTCAAACCAGCCGCCAGTCTCAGGATAGGCTTTCGCATCAATCATCTGCCGTAGAATTTCGATGGGCGGCTGTGCCCCGTAAGTCTCCTTGTTGGGCATGTTCAAATCGTCGACCATCAAAACACAAAGCTTACCGAAGGGTGGTCCGTACACACCCTTCCTGCGGCGGTCAAGCTTGGCATCGATGAGATCCTGCGTTTGAGCACATTTCGTCTGAGCTGAGAAACCCATCATGATCTGGTTGAAGCCGTCCTTCGGCAGACCCATCAAGCACTGCTGCATGTATGCGGTCTTGCCGGTGCCCGTAGGACCACAGAAAAGCAGCTTGATGCGATGCTTAATGCAGTGCTGCAGAACATACGTGTAGCGCACACTGTCCAAGGTCTGTACGATGATGGATTCGACGGCTGAGCCGGGCTTGATGGTCTGGGGGTCAACCGTGTCCATCCAACCGATCCATTTGATCTCTTCAGCCATGAAAATCCAATCGTAGACAGAACCACGCTCTGGAAACTCAGGTGTCAGCTTCTTGTACTGCGAGATGCCCTCGATCTTACCCTGAAGTAGACTACGGAGGAAGGTCCCAAACTCTGGCCTGGAGTTGGTTTGCAGGACGCAACCTATTGAGCAGATGATGCTCAGGACCACCACGGCATCAATCATGTTGATGATGTTCTTTTTGCCAGTCGCCTCGCTACCCTCTTCCTTCTTATATACATCCAAAACCAGGAAGTCTTTCAGGTGGGACATGAGAATGTTCATAAAGCTTTGCACGAGATTCTGGTCTTGGGTAGGCGACACCTCCGCACATTCCTCTCGCAGAAACTTGATGCAGGGCTTTAAGAGCCAGTGAGTCATGGCTCTGACCTCATTGGCCTCATCCTCATCAAGGCTTTCCGGCATTTCTCCCAAGAAGTTCTTCTCCACAAGTGGGTCGATGCCCATGAGGTGCGGCTCGAAATACACCATGCCATTTCGAGAGATGGTTGCCGGTGAGGCCTTGCTCGCCAACTGCTAAGTCTTGCGACGCTTACCCCCCTCCCCCCCACAATGAACCTAGCTACTCAGAATCCGACTTTGTGTTATTGCGTGCACACGAAACGCGAAACGCGTTAGAATGCTTTGGATAAGTGTACCAGCAAAAACACCAGCGGCCTCATTGACGTCCATCGGCTCCATGATGGTGCGCATGTTGGGTGACATCGCAATAATCTCCCCGCTATTCAGGCAAAGCTTTTTGTTCTCGTCCATGACGGTGTTCATGTTCTCTATCCAGACTGCATCAATCGGACCGTCGAAGACCAACCACTTTCGTTCTTCCGTTTGGTTTCTTCCAAACTCCCTGAAGAGCACCGCAACAATGCCATCGGCCCACTCCTTCGACACCTCGTCGAAAGTCCCATACAGGCACGGAGCTGGGATGCTCTTGGGGTTCAGCCGTGCCTGCGACAGCAATGAAAGCAACCTACAAGCAACCCTCATTATACTCCTGCCCTCCCTGTTTGAGTTTTTTCGTGACCCAGCCTGGTGCACGATGCAACCCGGATGCATGACACCTTCATTGGCCAGATCAGACAAGGTCTTCTGCAAGCAGCTGAGCGCCGTCGTCTTGCCACTGAAAGGCATTCCAACCAACATCACGCTGTGACGCACGATGTGACACTCGTAGAACCTTGGCGCTGGCACTCAGATCGCCGTCTAACGGTCTATGACGTGACTAGTCCGGCGTTTGCCGAGTATGTACGAGTCCTTGACGATGCGTCAAGACTTACAAAACAACAAGATCAAGATCTGCATGGAACTGGATGATCTTCTCGATGAAGTAGGGATGCGGCTGGCAATGCTCTTGGCGCAAGTGGAACTCGAGCTTGGAGGTCAATGCCCCAAAGTCCGGCTCCGGCAGCACCACGCCAGGGAACAAATCTGAAGTGATCCCCTTGAACAGCGGCACATCAAAGGCCAGGAACTTGGCCAAGTTCACATCACAGATTGAGCGCAACATCAAAATGTCCTCTTTCTCGCTCGGATACTTGCGTTTCAGATTGCCGGCAGCGACCAGCACTGAGAAAACCGCTCTCATCCCATAATCGTAATGCTTTTGAGATGAGAGCTGCTCGCTGCAGAGTTTGTAAGTGGTGACGATTTTTTGAGACAGCGGCCGGGCCTCTGCATAACCGTATGAGTACAGCTTGATCTCTGCAATCATGGCATAGTCCGGCACCATCATGGCCACTGTTCGAAAGAGGGCTTTCAAATTGTCGGGCAGCTCCGCCCGTCCTGCATATCCCGGGTTCATGGTAATGAAACAGTTGCAGGTCCACTTGATGGGCAAGTTCGCAGTGCCCTCAAACTCGAAGCAGGTGAGCCGGGCCTGTCTTCGGGATTCTCGTTTGCACTACCTGCGTTTCAACTACCTCAGAAGGCCTCTAATTACGCTCGGAGCGCCGAGTACAGGTGCTTACAGCTGAAGGCAAGCCACCTTGATGGCATTCTGGATTTGCAGGATTTGCTGCGCAATCACACTTAGCACCTCCGCATCGATGCGGTTGAACTCGTCGAAGCATGCCCAACCTCCAGAAGATGCGAGGCCTTTGAAGAACTTTGCCTGGGAGCGAGAAGATGACAAGCCGAAGCAAAGAGACACACAGTGACACACATTCACGAATCGTCACGAAGTTTAGGCCGCCGACCATTGCATTCACGTCCAACTCGTCGCTGCAGTTGAACACGACACAGAAGCGGGCCAGCGCCTGCGGTGCCCAGCCGCTACAAATCAGACACGCCTACTCTTTCCGGCCAAGTGCAGGAGAGCCTTTGCAAGGTCCTTCACTGTCTCCGTCTTGCCAGTTCCTGCCGGGCCCTCAGGAGCCGCGCCGTAGAGCAGGTGCAGCGCCCCACAGCACGTGCCTTGGCTCTGGGGGTTGTGGTTACCGGAACATGCACGCCCCGTCGAGAGGCCTCCAGAGCAATCGAACCCTTTCGCTGCAGTACTTCCATCGGCGGAAACGAAAAGCATCCTCTCATCCTTCTTGTCACTCCAATGTGCTCTCTCGTCTTCCACGGGCCACTCACATGCGGTTTCCTTCGTCTGCTCTGGAGGTCCGGCTACTCACGTGCCATGCCGGCACATGAAGCTTCCCCAAGCGGCAAGATTTCACAACAAGGAGAGGACTAGCACACATTTCTTACGGAGTGTTCTCCTCCGCTGTTGCTCGCTCCGATCCGCAAGTCAACCAAGGTCCGGAATGAATGTAACAGCGGACAGTCCTGAATTCCCTCCCTCTCTCTTCTGTATGCTTGCCTGGGAGGCTACGCACCCGTGCCCTCTCAATCCACCCGCTCTTTCCTCTTCCTTCGGGCTGCTAAAGATTGCAAGGCAGGGCACGATAGCACCGGTCAGTCAGGGGCGTCACCACCAACCTCCCACAGTTTCCAAGATATTCGTAGGCATAGCCCAGGAAACTGTTGGTGATCCGCACGAAGATGTCATCGTGACCGGGGTTGTCTGGATTATCTTCAATGAAGTATCGGAGCTGAACGAGCCAGTCAAAATCGGTGACTTCCGATGTGCCACGCTCACTGAGCTCCACGATTGTGTCCTTGTTGTGCACAAAGATCACAATCAAGGCCTCGAGAGTGCACCGAACGAGTTTCGGGATCTCGCGCCGCACGAGGCCCACAATCTCATCCAATGTGTTGTCCAGCTTCACGGAGTAGTCACAAAGGCCCGCATTCCCCCTCTCAGTCAAGGCCTCATTGACCTCCGAAGTCCAGTACAAGTTGAAAATGCCAATCACCACCTGCCCAGGCCACTTCTGCACCCAGTCGACGAAGGGTGTGACTGCATAGTCGTCCCTGGACTGGAAGCTCTGGTCCCGGATGGACTCGATCATGGCAGCCTCGACTTGGACAAGCCACTTCTCAACAGCTCCGTTTGCCGCGACAGGGTCCACGATGTTGGTGAGCGGCACCGTCTCCTTTTCAGGTGAGATCATGCCAGAAATGTTGAGGTTTTCTTCGAACTGGAGGCTCTGCATACCCTCAAAGCACTTCTTCACGTGGGCGTTCACGCGCTTGGGGTCTTTCGTCTCACTGAGGATCTCCAGAAGATTGTCGTTCGAGAGAAAGAAGAAGCGCGGGAAAAAGAGACGCTTTGTCTCCAAGTAATCATTCAAGCCCTTCTGAACGGTCTCGAGCTTGTCGTTTGCGGCCTGAAGGTTCTCTAGGAATTTATGCTGCTTGAAGACCACGAGAGCCTTGGGGTTGGCTACGCTTTTGGCCATGATGTCCCTCCAGGTGCCATCCACCTCACGGAAGAGGCGGCCCTCTGTGGGCATCTGCTGCATGATGTCATCAGAAGAGAAGATTGGCTCCAGGTACAGCCACACCCCCTGCACTTTAAGCCAAACATCCACGACATCTTGGACCCCTGTCAAGTAAGCCTCCCAATCCTCCAATCTCTCTTTGAACTCGGCTGCGAATGGGGAGCCCTTCATGGTCTGAGTCTTGATGACGTGATCATCCAACAGCGTTTGAACCTCATCGATGGATGAACCAGACACGATGTAGGTTCCAGTCGTACCCCAATCCTTGAACTCCATGACAACTGGTTCCCACTCTTTGATCATGGCTTCCAACCCACTTTCGATCTGGTATTCCTTGGCCGCACTGTCCGATATCTCCGAAATCTTTTGAATGTAGGCACCAAGGTCGCGATCCAGTGCCTTGGCAGCTCGGTCAACACAAGATCAAAAGCAAGGGCCAAGCAAGGGAAGGGTGTGCCAAAAGAACGCAAAAGAAGCCCCTTTCTCGCCTTGTTCAAAGTGAGACTTGGATCCGGTTCCATCTGGAAGCCGATCACGTTTGAGATCTCTGCCCAATGCCGATCACGAAGGCCGGGGTTGCAAAGAGCGTGCAGCAACGGCACATTCTCCTTGAAAGCGTCTAAATCATTCTTCACCTTCTCTGCCACCTGCACAGGCAACACATCATCCCCACGGCGCAAGCTACATCAAAAGACAGAAACCCAAATCCGGTACACCGCACTAACATCACTTCGTCAAGCTCGTCTTGGTCCCTCAATCTTGTTGCCGGAGAGGCTATGGTTTTGGCTTGCTGCATCGGTGCCTTCCCGGCTTAACAGGCTTAACAGCAACTTTCAGCTCAGGCCTTCGCAGGCTTGGTGATCTGCTCCTGCTCGAACTGCGCCTTCAGCTTGAAGGACAAGCGCCACATGTTGTTAACTTCAGACTCAACCTCCTCTGGCTTGATCTCGCCTGAAAACAGAGGGCTGCGTGTCCACTTGGAGTTTGCCTTGTGGTGGTCGTGGACCAGATTCCATAGTTTGTCGTAGGGCTCCAGAGCGCTCTGTGCCTCATCGAAAACATCGAATTCTCCGGCCTCCCAACCCACCAACTCCTCCTCATAATTCACCCTCTCACATCGGGCCTGGCAAGTCGTATCACGATGGTTTTGACATGCGGGACTTAGCAAAGGCAGCTTGGACGGAGACTGGCCTGCAGACTGGCAAGGTTCTTCTTGATGCTCTGCAGATCGTCCAGGTACTCGTCTAGGTATCGAATCTGCCCCTTGTCTTTGAACTTCTGGATGCTGCTTAGAATGGCGTTGAGCTCCTCTTGCAGCTCGGCCCTTCTCACCGTGAGCTTGCCTTCGATGGTCATCCGGTCCATCTCCAGGTCCCTCTCACGATCGGCGATGTTTGTCCCGTAGCTCTTCCATTCCGATGCTTCCCAAATGGCCTTGTAGTCCTCTTCCGTGAGCAGGTACTCCTAAGGCAGGGCCACAGACCGAGCATCCTAGCGAGCTACGGCAGCTACGGCCGACAGGGGGGCCTCGTCCCAGGTCAGGAAAAGCCAGGCCTTGATGTCCTCACCAAAGCGGAAGAAGAGAAGAGAGCGCTTTTACTCATGACGAAGAGACGAGCTATACTGCTATACACGCACGCTACAGACACTCCCCGAAAGAGAGTGGGGGGGGGCCACCAGCCTCGTACTCGTCCAGGAGGCTTGGCAGGATCTTGGCTTTTGCTTCCTCGACGGCATTCTCCAGCTCTACCAGCTGTTCCTCGTTCTCCGGTTGGCGCATAATCCGCTGATTCAGATGCTCAAACTGCTTCACCAGGCCTCGGTTGGGCAAATCTCTCGGCAGGATCCAAACACCTGACAAGAAACACTCATCTTGCAGACCCTTGGTCTCGGACGTGCGCTGCGGTCCTGGTTGCGGATGGCAAGGAACCGCAAGATCTTGGCTATGCAGTCGTCGGCGCATTGCTCAAGCTTCTGGTTCACTTCTGCCGCATCGACACGCATCATCTGCACTTGCAGCAAGTTTGGGCACTGCTCCCGGAGCCTTGAGACGGTGTCACGAAGGTGCTGCAAGTACGCAGCGAACTTTTCCCGTGTGTTCGACTGGTCATCGAAGAAGGCCGGCAGTTTCTCATCTTCAGTGAGAAGGAATGTGAAAGGCTCGTAGAGTTCAAGGGCCTTCTCCATGTTGTAGAGGTTCATATTGACAATCTGCTCAACACGATCAAATCCACGCTTGATGTGCTCCTCTTCCTCTCGAACTTGCCATAACAGTGGACGGTTCACAGTCTCCTTCAACTTCGCATCCGGTCGAGGGAATTCTCTGAGGCAGGTGGTGCAGTCCCTGTAGGGCTGCAGCAGCCGTGCCTTGACAAACTCCAAGTCATGCTTGAAGCGGATGTCCGTGCCCTGCGGTCCTACTGTCAGCTTGTTGACCAACATCACCTCCTGCCACTTATCCCCACTGGTCAAAGCTTTGACTTGGGGGTAATGCAGCGGCTCACCGGCGAAGCGCTGGAAGAGCACTACGTACTCTTGCAGACTGGCTTCAACCACATCTCGCGCAAGCTGTGAGAGGAGGGCTGCCACAGCCTCGTGGAAGTGGGACTCCATCTTCTCTGGATGAGCCGTGGGGATCAATTCCAACAACTTGCTCTTCGGCGTGACGGCTTCGGCAGACGTCTCAGCATCAGGGGCAACCTGGAGATACACCGGCTCTTCAGACACAATCTGGATGACCTTGGCTGGCACCGAGTCCCGCATGCCTGCACTGCTAATTTAATCTCTAAGCAAACACGCCTGGGCACCTGTTGCCAAGCAGTTGACAAGCTTTGCAGACCCGTCTCCCGCACCGAGCTTTGAGAAGCAAAGAAAGTGTTGATGTCGCACGTCTCCGCGTGGGCCCTCGGGTAGTTCAGAAGCTGCACCTCCTGACAAGCAACACATGAGCAGCTTCAATCGGCAATGCAAGCGGAGTGCGGTGGTCTCTGTCCTGGCAGTTCTCCAGCCAGAAGTCAACCAATCGAAGGGCCGTGGTCGAGTTTTGCACATGGCGCATTGCCAAGGAGGTCCGCGCAGCCTGCAAGCCTGCACGCCAGTGTTCCGGTGGCCCACCCGGAGTTCCGATGTCGGGAACCGTGTAAGTCAGGCGTCCCCATTCCGGCGGCAAAACTGGAACGAAAGGTATGTCGAGTCGCCGACGGCACCGGTCATCCAGCAATGCATAATTTACCACCGAGGTTTTGGCGGCTCGGATGTAGCCTTTCAGGATCTCGTGTCGAAGCTCTTCTATGAGCTGCCCCTGCTCATCCTCTGATAAGGACGGCCATCGAGCAGGGTTTTGTAGCTCAAGGAGGAGCACAGCATGCTCAAGCCACTGGCGATGGTAAGGCGCTAGAACCTCAGAAGGCACCCCACCTTCCGTGTAGTGCTTGTACCTGCTTAGTATTCGACAGAACTCCGTCTTCGACAGCGCCACGGAATCCAGTTCTGCAACAATGGGGGAATCCTCTGCGATACGAGGCCATTCGGAAGTCCAGTCCACATTCCGAACATCCACTGGCCCGTTGTCATTTCCATCCTTCTTCTTCATTGGAGGTTTTCTTCTGATCATTGTGCTCTCTAAGTTGACGTGGGCCTCGTGGTCGATGGTTAGGACCTGGGCCTGCGGCGAGTAGTTGGAGGCAATGACCTCAGGAGCAGAGGTGCCGAGGAGAAGCCGGGAGGAAGCCAAAAAAGGCAGGCGTTCTCTGCTTCCTGCCTTCCTATTCTCTGACCCTCTGAGCTTTGCCAAGGCACATTACTGATATGGTCTCGCTCTACAGCCTCTCGGAACAAGGCGGACCTGGTCCGGCTGCAGCGATCGAGCAAAGGTGGAAACAGCCGCTCCGAGACAGGGAGCTGACGGGTGAAACGACGGCTTAGAGCTTCGGCATCCTCTTTCAAGGAGGCCAGCTTTGTTCGGTCTTTTCTGCCCTTCTTTGGGAAGGGCACCTCTCCCACGCTGGCCTCCTGGTGAAGAGGTTTCAACACAGGAGTAGAGCTTGACTTCCGCATCCCCGTTCTCACTTCCGGGTCTTGTGGCACGGACGGCGCGGACTCCGGGCTCAGCAGGGTGTCACTCGCGGTCGTCTGCAGCCTTTCTCTCTCTTGTCTAAATAAGGAGGTCTGAGATCTGGTTGTCTGGGTCATTCTCTTCAATAGCTCTGCCCCCGTGGTGCCGAACATGTGGTGCTCTGCCGTGACATGGCTGCTGGAAATGCGGCTGTCCGCGTCAAAGGGTTCGAAGGTGATGATCTGGCTCTTTACCTTGATCTGGCCAATGCCCGGAAGATCCAGCTGCACTTCTGGCGACTCCTTCACGGCCGTCCAAAACTCCTTGACTACCGACTGCACCATCTCTTCCGCCACATCCTTCTGCAGCCCAGCTGTCCCTGCAATCTTCTCAAGCCGGACCTTCGAGATGGGTCCTATGCTTGGGCCTGGCCCCTCCCAGCACAAATCCGCGGGCAAAACCTTCTCTAAGACCTTGAAGCGCATTGACCTGGGAGGTCCCGAGTGGCTGAAGAAGACACCTAAGTTGGGCACGTGCACTGTCCGGCCCAGGGAGACCTCCTGAATCAGGTAGGTGCACAGGGCCTGGAAAACGTGTGTTACTTGTGCGTGATATCTTGATTCATCTTCCTCTGGGGCCGAGCTCTCATGGAGCGCGGCCATGTGCCCCAGAGCGCGAAAGGCGCTCTGCCGCACGCGGAAGCTACGAAGATCGAGCCTTCTTCGGCTGAGCCGAAAGCACACGAAAAGCATCAAGTCGGCCCTGCAAACTGCTTTGCCTACCAAAACCGGTGCTTCTTCACTTGCAGACCACGCTCTCAGAGCCTTCTCCTGGAAGAGAACTGTGGAGTGATGTCGAAAACACCTCTCTCGAACTAGCTGCAGCTAGCTTCGTGCTCTGGCTCCATGCGTGCTTGCATGCAGTTGCGAAGGCTATGCCACACCATGAAACCGGAAAGCAGCCGAGCATGAAGGCAGCAAGGACACAACAGTCGCGGAGTGTGAACTGTGTATGCTTGCATGACACTGCAAACCGCAGCAGTCTCAACTTTCGAGGGCGCAACAAAGCCCACAGCTAGCATGCTGTGCCCACGGCCACGTCATAGGAACAAGGATGACTTGCAATCGTGCCAAAAAGCAAGAAGCAGAAAGGTCGACAAATTTGAAGGCCAAGAGATCAAAAGCTAAGAAACAAGAAAGTCCAGAAGATTCCAGAAGGTCTTGTGTTGATGCCTATAACTCACGGCTCCCACCTAGAGCCGACTCGTCCCACCAGCAGAAGTGAGCATGGAAGGCCATCGACCCAAACCTCTCAGCACAGTCGTCGACATTGGCAAAAGCAGAAGCAGGATTTGCAAGCTCGGGAAGGCACAGATACAGCAAAGAGTTCACGAAGTGCAGCGTTGCCACAACCTGTGCTGAGCCGGGCTGTTTCAAAGCTTGGTCTCTCTCTCTCGCTCTCTGCGGAGGCAGGCAACGCCAACCCTCGAAACTGTAATTTCACAAGTGATGGCAAGCAATTCAGACGAAGCACATCCAATGCTGAGGCTGCTGTTGATATGCGAGTGAAGAGGGGGCCTTGATCACCTGGACAAAAACCGTTGACATTGACCCTCCCCGGAGCCGAGAACAGCCTTGCCATGGGTTCCCGGTGCTCTCTGAGCCAGGCACTACTAACACAGATTGGCTCCAGTGCGAAGATGCAGGTGATGAGCACGAAGCTGATCATGGCAGAGCCTGAACATGGAGAACCAAGCTGACACGAAATGATGCTTCAGGGAACCAATCAGAGTGGCTCGAGCAGTCTGCTTGCAGTAGTGCTGCTTCTGAGATGGGTGGACAGCTGCCGGCTCACAAAGACCTTGTTTCTGCATTCCCAACCACAACACCAACTCACCAAGAGCACGCATGCCCGCATCTGAACGAAAGTTTTGCTTACATGTACAGCGAGGGCCGCGTGTCCCTACATGTTGGTGTGAGAATGCGAATTGGTGTTCCTGGTGGTCGTTGTGCGCAACGAGTCTTCGCATCAGATACATTTGTGAGCCCTCGGCTGATGTCGGCTACGGCTAGGTTCGATTGTTGACGGTAAGGTCAGCGACTTCGGTAGGCCATACTTTCCGCACCTCAACAAGAAAGCACTAGCCTACAATTGGAAACTTGTTATTCTCACCAATTTTGTCCTCATCATTGGAGAATATGACCAAGTCCGACAAAGCAGCATGCCACGTTGTGCTCTTTTGTGGAGATGATGGCGAAAGCTTTGAACAGATCCACTGCATCAGCGTGAATATCTCTTTATTTCGCTCCTGGGCTTTGGGCAACTTGCACGGCAGATCGCGCTGCGTTCATTCAGAAAATCCTGCTATTGAACTGCCTCACCGCTCCAAGGCTCCTCTTTCCGTCGCATCTTTGCGCGAGTACAGAAAGCTATTCCCAGCTCCTCCTCCTCGACCATGGTGAACCCTTTCTCAAACCTTGTGTAGAAGGAGCAGAGCATGGCTGCAGAACGGCTGTCGTCTGTCAGATTGACTGCTTCCAGCGACCTGTTTCTCGCATCAATGGAAGCAGTGGAGTTTGCGGAGTTTCGACCTCAGACAGTGGTGAGCAGCACCGACTGGTCATGATTGGTGACGGCTAGTGACTAGGAGACGGACGATCACTTGGAAAGATGGACTCGGCAACACTCCCCAGGCTCCACCGACGACCTTGTTCGTAAGCTGCTGGCAACAAAACGGACTGCTTGAACATGGTCGCTCCACGAATATAAGTGGCGCACCAAAAACACTGCCGCGATTCGTTATCGACATCTTGCCAAACCCGGCAAATATTGAGCCTGGCCAAGAGCCACAAATTCTCGGGCGCCCTCTTGTATCTTTCTTCTTTCTTTCTGGTTCGAGTCCCTAGCGAACTGCCAAGGACCCCGAGGTCGGGTGCACAGCCAAAACTCAGCGCCTGCACTCGCCTAGCATGTTTTTTTTTTTGCGAAAGCTTAGTCTCGCCGTTCCTTCCTTCCTTCCTTCGGGCGCAGGTCTGACTAGCAGACTCGTGCCGTTAGGCACCCCCACCCTGTTTGGATTATGAGGCAAAGGCTTTGGGGTCAGTGGGTGGATTGTTTCCACCAGCAGTTGGAAAGTGCGGTAGATATTCTCCTGTCGTGGACCCAAACCTGACCCTGTACTTTAGCCCGCATCCCGGCCCCATCACCTTGGTCCCTCGACAGCAGATATCCCCCTGTAGTACTCGGTTGGCTGACTAGTCTACCTTTTCAACAAAAACAACACTGAGTACCGTGCCTGTTGTGGGGGTCCACCGTTAGTGGAGCAACACCGGACCAATAACACATGCAGGACACGAAGTTTGACGGCTCCCCCTTTGGGAGTCTAGTTTCCCCAGAAAGCTATGTGCACCGATTGTTTGGCTCCCCCACCTTCACGTGGCAAAGCAACACGAGCAACGCCAAACCCTTCAGATCACGAGTATGGGTGGGTCCACTTTGTGTAAATGCAACACGGGAACAAGACGCAAACCCTTGCAGGTCACGAGGACTGGTGGTTCCCCCGTTTCTGTGGCCTAGCTCCTAAGCTCGTAAATCTGTGCAGGGTGCCCCACTTCAGTACGAATTTGTAGCAGAAGCTCTCATTGAAATGCTGAGTGTTTGGATCGGACTTGCATGAAAAAGGGGGCGTGTGGCTCCCCCAACGGCAGGTGGCGTCTGGCTCCGCGGCCCGTCTGGTTGCAACAATTAGGCTCGTCGTTGCGAGCTGAAGTGGGGAACTCGTGATGCAAGGTGTGGACTACGGTGCCCTTCACATCACGGCTCGTACAGGTATTTTCTCTTCCGGCTCTGCTTCATGTGCTCTTGGACTCGCTGGACATCCCCCCGTGTAGGTCCTGGCATCAGGCTCGTCGAGTTCCTGCGTGGGCTGCGGCTTGGCGATCTGGGTCTTTGCACCCCCGGACCTGTGCTTGCGTTGTCCGAGGCCATGGCCAGTTGGGGACCTGTTCGCTGAGCTGCGCGGTGTTCTCTGTGGCGGGTCTGCTTCATTTGTTTGTCTGTTCTCGGTCTGCTGCCGGCCTTCCTTCGTTCCTCTTGTTGGGGTCGTCTTCGTCACGTCGGTGTTGCTGATTGTCTGGGTTTTCCCTTCCCCCATTCTTTGTCTGCTTCTTCTCCTTCTCCCCCTTCTTGGTCTGTTTCTTCTCCTTCTTTTGTTCCTTCTTCGTTTTCTTCATCTCTTTGCGCTGTTCTTGCGCCATAGCTTCCTTGAAAACATTTTGGCTGAACTGAGGAGGTCGGCCACTTTCCACGGGTACTTCCCCACATAGATACGGAGCTCCTCCTCTAGACGTGGGTTGTGCTTCCCCACTTAGCAATCAGCTGGTCCGTTCGTCGAGCTGTGTCTCGTCGTTCATTGTGCCTTTGTGTGTGCGCTTGTAGTCGTCGGTGGCTTCCGCGTCCAAGGCCTCCCCCGTCGTCAGGTTGACGTATTTCCCCGTCTTCCAGTCCTGTCGGATGGGCGTTCCAATCCACCTATCCAGTGGGCTCGGGTCGTACAGAAATGCGCTGCTCCGGTTCAAACCTGACATAGTCGGACAAAGGTTTGCTTTTCGCCTTGCTTTTGCTGCTCTGCTGGGGTTCACCCCCAGGTCCTCTGGCCAGCAGGCTTCTGGCATCGTCCTCACCTGCCTTTTTGCGTAGGTCACACAGTTTGCCTGGTAAGCTGTCCTGTGGCTACCTCGTACTTATAACCGCGTGTCCGCGCTGTCATGGGACTTGTGGCAAAAAGGCCCTTGTAGGCCCGCTTTGCAGGACACCCCCATGCCACGAAGCTTCTCTGCGAGTCTGCGCTGCTCCTCCCACGTGGTGTTGACCTTCGCCAGTTTGGCCGAAGGGTCACGCTCAGGCCTGGGACTTCTTTTCCCCTCTGTGCCCCTTTCTGCGGGGTTCCGCAAAGTTCCGAGGAGGGCTTGGGCGCAAGGGGCCTCTTAAGCAAAATGGCGACGGCACGGGGCTCGGGCGCTGCTTGGGAGCAGGCAGGCGGGTTTCTCGATGGCACAACCTCGTGTTAACCCCGTGCCTCCCCCCCGATGCCAAGGAGGCATAACAGGCCCCCAAGACAAAGGTGCGGACACTTGAGCCAAACTGGCTACTCGCTCTTTCTTTCGCCAGGGCTACTCGCCCCTCTCCTCTCTCTCTCGTTTCGAAGGTGGAGGGTCTCTCTCCCCCCTTCCTGTCTGTTCTTCCTTCCTTCCTGTCTTTCCGTGGTTGTAAGATAACGGTTCGCTGGCTTAAACCCGAGGCACAGGGAGCGGTCCAAGTCTCCACCTTGGGAGGGTCTGACGCTGAGAACGGGCGACTGTGCTGGCAAAGGCCTGTGCGGTGTACCCTGCTAGAACACCTCAAGCCCTGCGATCTCTCTCCATCTTCCACACAGACAAGAGGAGTGAACGCGCCACCCCTCTGCACGCAAGCCCGCACTGCTCTGTCTCGCTCTTTCTTAGCTAGCGTGGCATCCAGCACACGGGAGCATGTCGCTGGTCATCCGAATCGTACCGGACAAGCATCAGCAAGTCAACCAAGCACTCGCATGTCACATGTCCTTTCGGCTCTCGCGGCGTTGTCGGAGGAGGTGTCGTTGCCGAATTCGAATCGCTGTCGCTAAGATCGCCTCTTCTCGCCTTCTCCTGAAACTCCAAGCATACGGCACTCGACTTGACTCTTCCACTCCCTGATGTCAGGATTAAGCCTACACAGTAGGTATCCTCATCGCCCTCCACCTGATTTGGAAGACAAACCGTCACATTCTTGACCTGAGACGGTGTGAGCGGGTGCTGCAGCATTCCAGTCAGGTCTGCAGACATGCTTTTGGCATTGACATCTCGCCCTCTTATCTTGAGACATTCTGAATCTAATCCCAGTCCCAGTGACCATAAGACTTGTAGCTCCTGGATCGAGGCGGCACTACTCCTTGGATGCGAGACGAGCCCAGCTTGCCTTGCCGCGACCAAGACCCATGTGGGAGCCAAGAAACTCACTGGCCACCAGAACCTGCTTGCATAACGGACCTTCGGCAACTGCAGGCGGTCAGTCTCAGCAGATGCAGGCCAAGCAGATTCGTTCGGATGGGACTGGGGTTGGCGCGGAATTGCAGTCAACAACCCTTCGGGTGAGTTGACACAAGCATCCCATGCTACTCCGGCTAAAATTTTTGAGCCGGAGCTGAGGAGACAATTCGTGCACCATGCCTTACATGTCCAATGTGCCTTCATGCTCCTTGCAGGCACTGATCCCCGCTGGTCAGCTGCTTCGATGAACACTGGCTGGGCACAGGCTTTGGCCTTGTGATGGCTGCTTCCAGCACGGGAAAGAGCCACTACCGCTCCAGCAGGATCAACTACCCTGCAGCTCAAACAATTTAACTAAAGTGAGCCTGGAGCGGCGAATGCAAAAGAGTAGCCACAGATTAGCCCAGAAAAACACAACCCCGCCAAAAGCCCCGGAGCCTCTGCTTGGACGAGCGCAAGCTCCTCCCAAAACATCGAGTTCAACAGCGTGCCAAGTTCCCAGGAATCAAGAGAGACTTCTTGCGGTTGGACCCGCCCCTTGCCTCCCGACACTGGGCAGCCTTCTGCAAAGCTTCTCGCGCCTATCCAGCCCAAGTCCAAGACTGCAAAAAGTACGTCACCGATTTTTTAGCAAGCAGCACACCCCAGGCTTTGATGACTGGTTAGGGCGAAGCTCGTGAGGTCCGTCCGACGCTTAGACTCGTCGGAACGGCCGCCGCCTCCGTCCTGCAGATGGCGACGAGCTAAAGGGCCCCCCCCGAGGGCCATAGAGCCGACGGTAAAGAAGAAGGTACTCCGGGCAAATTCCTTCGATCTTCGGCAGAACGAACTCACGGTAGGTTCCACATTGAACCTCCAAGTCTCCCACGAGGGAATTGCAGCGCTGGCGCTTGAGCTTGTTCGCCAGCGCATGCGGGTCATCGGCATCCCAAACGGCGCGTTGGACCCGCAGAATTCTTCCAAGAACTACACGGCAAAGCAGCATTGGGAACAGCCGCAAACCCTTCACAGAGCTCAAGGAGCTCACAGCACCGACCGCACCCTCCTTCGCATACTCATCAGCCTTGGAGGAACACTCGGAAAAGTAAACTCCGTTCGCAAACATGCACTTCCGTTTTGGGCCAAATCGTTGCTGCGTGCTTTGCCCAGCAAGGTCTAGACGAAATCCCTGTTGAAGTATCTGGCCAGCTGCTCTCATGCTGGTGCCGTGGAACAGGTGGCACTCATTCACCTCTGGGCCTGTCCCGAGATCCAAGAACCCCTGGGTTCGGACGGAGGGTTCCAGCGCTGGGCATCCCAGAGAGTTTTCTGCTGATATCCAATCTCGATCTCGGAAGTACTTCTCCCAGATGTCGGAGGACTGGGAGGACATGAAGACCTCAGACAGCTTCAATCTTCCTGGCATTGGCCCCTTCCTGTCACAAGAGCGCCGGCGCAAGAACGTGGAATCTAGCAAGGATTGCAGTTGCTTGAATACGCTCGGCTGGCTCTGCTCGCCACCCTTCACGTTTTGAAGGACTGAACGACGCGGCACCTTCATGCCTGGTCTGCCCTCGCACATGCCGAGGTTGCCTGCACGTAGCCTAAACCCAGGCTGCCACATGCCTGGCGTTCTACTGACTGAGAAGCTCTGGAGCCAGATCTACAGCGGGTTGCCCTCGGCCTAATGAAAACTGCAGCCGCAAGTTAGCCCTCCGGGCCTTGGCTGCGGAGCCTCGAGTGCACGGCAAGGCGCAAGTCCGCAAGTACGCCACTACCCAAGGCATCCCAAGGCCTGAGGCCACGGCTCTCCGCCTCGGCCTTGTTCGCAGCAAGATCGGCTTGCAGCTCCCTTTGCACGCGGCGAGACTGGACCCCATGCTCAACATGGACAAGAGCAACGAGCGACTCGACTCTCATGACGAACTTGTGGTACTGAAGAGGCATTGCTACACCCTGCTGCACCCCATTGCCCCGGTGTCGCGCTTCTTCTTCCGCCGTTCTTCAGTCAGAGCCTGGATGTTCTTTGGGAAATTTATGCGGCAGCAGGCAGCAGGAGCAGCGCCTGCTCCAGGTCCTGGTTCTCTTGCCGGAGCCTCAGAAGCTCTTGGCAAAAACCGTTAAAAACCGATGTACAAAGCTTGAAAGCTTGTACAAAGCTGAAAAACGAACTTTCAACTCGGCTCACCGCTTCTTCTCTGCCTGGGCCGACTCTACAAGCCTTTCAACCGTTCCTTTCGCCTCCACCTCAAAAGCCTGAAACAAAGCCAACGTGCCTCCAGCGCCTCGCCCTGCGGGGGACTGGGCCGCTACGGGTGCCATCTCAAATCGATTCCCGACTGCCCGAACAGAAGTTGCGACTTGCCCGGTTCCTTTTACTCGCATGCAGGGCCGCATTGCGGTAGCTCTCGATCCAAAGTCTCCGGAACCCTCAGGGTTCGGAGGAATCTGTGCACAAAGGCACAGGGCGCAAAACAAAACTAGTGTTGTCTCTTCGCCGCTTGTGCCAACGAGCTGTGCCTGCAAGCTGGCTGATCTCCTGGTAGCAATCGCTCGTGGATGGATTAATGCTGCGAGCCATGCTACCGAGTGCACATCCAACCGGCTCAGCTCAGCGTCCGGGGCGTAAGACCAAGCCATCACGGCTCACAAAATCCGTCAACCGTTGGACTGCATGCGTTCTTTAATTCTTGAATTGCTGCAGAAACCAGAGGGTATCTTACATCTGTAAGGTTCCTGCAGACCAAAAAATTACAACATTGGCATCAATGGAAGAGTCCAGCAAGCCAGTGCCTGAGGAGGATCAAGCGCTAGAGAGCGGCAAGACACTCCCGCTTTGCCGAGTCTGTGCTAATGCCGGCCCTGTATGTATTTCGTCCCTGATGCATGCAAGAGGCTCGACATTCTGGACCGGATTGGGACCAGCAGTGTGCGTAATGGTTGTGCTCGTCATAGTCGTAAGCGTCATCGTGGTGGTGCTCATCGTGGTCGAAGTGGTAATACCAGTGGCCTCACGCTGGCATGAGCTCGGAAATTATTTTCTTGTGCTCTCACGATTCTTGCAAAAAACTGCCGCCCAGATTCTGTGCAGGCGATGTATGATGGAGCCTGCAGGGTTTTAGCTGCGCTTTGAATACTGGATGATGTCGGCAACCTATGGGAAGACTTGATCACCCAGGACGCCTGCTTAAAGGGATGGTACGCAACAATGCCCTGCGAGGGGCAAGATTGCCAGCCCGGCCACTTTGCACCTCGGATGAAAGCTGCAAATACCAGTGGTAACTCCAAAATTGGGGGAGAGCTGGGCAGCACTCGCCAAAGCAACCCTGGATTTGGAGCGCATATCGCCGGGGATGGCTTAACGTCTGAAACATGAGTTTCTTGTCGAGCGGTGTCAATAAGCATTCTGGAGACAACCCTTGCTCTGGGAATGTCCGGAAAGACTCCGTTTCCTCTCGTGCCCTTCTGCAGGCAGTCAGATTCAAAGGTTTATTCACACGCGACATGACATGGAAACAACACATTGACATGACTTGCCAAGTTACAGTTCTCCTCGACGAGGAGGTTTTGCACCTCAGCTTGGACATCCAAATTGCTTCTGTGGATCCTGACGACTTGAAGCGAGCTGAATAGCTAAAGCCGGCGCGGCCTCAATTTCAAGCAGCGTTTCGAGGAAAAAGCGCTTGAACGTGACAAATTAAGTACGGTGTTCACATGGCGACGCAGGAGCGAAACAAGGCTCTCCAGCAGACCGGCCATCACAAGCCCTTTGAGAGCTGTCGGCTCTAAAGCCCATCCACTGCTTGCAGGGCATTCGAGGTGCGGTGAGGTGAGGGGATTGATCTTCCGAAGGTCTGGTCAATAGAACCGACCCTACAGCAGTGTCTAAGCTGACGGGATAAGTGTTCGGTGGAAAGGGCATGCTACCAAGATCTTCCAAGCAAACAACTTGTCCTTAACCGACCAAAATTCGGGGGGAGGGACTCGAGTGCACACTTTCGTCTTGGGCACCTACAAAGACGAAAAGTTGATGTACCAAAGGATTTTCTTGTCCACAACTAACAGTCAGGCTAGCCAATGAATCTCGAACACCTGATTCTGAAAAGTCCGACAAGTAGCAAACACTCGCTTCACGTGGCCAATGTTCAGGAAGCACTGGTCCAGCCACATGTCCTCCCATGTCAGAAGCGGAACTCTGTCACTGTTTCTGAACCGGACCGCTTAGCACGGCTTCTTGAAGTTGAGCACGCAGTATTGGGATCTGGGCCGTAGTCACAGGTCAGCTGAATCTCAGGCAAACAGAACAAGATGTTGGTGCTGAATGTCCTCCCCCCATTGCCAATTCCCCCAGTCGTTCATGGACCAATAGCACTGGATGGCAACTGGGCTGTCAGAAACATGCAGTAAAGCTAACCAGCTAACCGAAAAGGACCTCGTTCCTGCTCACCTAAGGGTCGGAGCATGAACCCCGTAGGATTGCTTCTATTTCGCCGAGCTTCTCCTTGCAAAGGTACCTTGGCTGGGAAGCCTACCGAGGCGTGCACGTCCATCCCGGAAAACTGGATCAGATTTGCAGCAAGCTGCTCAGTGCTGCCTGTGACAGCACCTCAATGGGTCCGTGCAGGCCCTGGGGACAATTGTTGAGATAGACTCCAGGCTCCTGCACAAGGCACAACCGGCATGCGTGTGCTCACGCGTGATACGCATGCCTGAGAGGACGGTGGTTTAGCGAGTTCGGTCTGCACAACGACAGCATGCGCAGCTCTGCAAATGCTAATTTCAATCATTGGACTCTGCTCCTGGGTCAGGTTCTGCGCCTCTTGTTGCTGCAGAATCGGAATGAGCCGAGCTGGAAACCACACAGTGTCTGGATCGACTTTGATGAACCATCTCGCCTCCGACCCATTCGCACAAGCTTTACCAGGACATACCAGGAGCCGACATTCCGTGCCTTCAGGTAGTCGCCGTCTTGAATCACTGCCTTCCAAAATGCAAGGAACGGCCTTGGGTCAGCGAGGGCAGATGCTCCCCCTCTCTCAGCTTGCCGGCTGGGCCTGGTTGTTGGCTTCCCAATCTGCGTCTGTTCCAACGATTTCAGCACGATGGGCCGGATCGGACGCCAACTACGTGTTGGCTCCAAAAACACTTAACCCTTCGAAAGATGAGCATGGGACAAAAAATATGACTGGCTCTTAGCAATCCCCCCTTCACCCTGTGTGCTCAGCTGTCCATGGTTCGGCACAAGGGCTAAGACCAAGGAACTTGCTACCACAAAATAATCACCAGGCCAGGGACTCGGTGTTCAGCGCGGTGCCCCACTGGCCACCTTTCTCTGCGACCTCTCAATGCTCTGCTATCTGACAGGTGCAGCGATGAAGCTCGAAGCTGGGACTCGAGGACATGACCCAACAAGTATGCAAGATCAGGGGCAAACTAAAACAATTGCACGCCAAAAGTCAACACCTCCTTTCGAGTCTCAAGGCCACGAAGAACATCACAGTGACGCAAAAGCGAATGCTAAGAGCACCTATTTTCTACGCACCATTGAAGCTCAAGGCCTGCAGTCTGTGCGCACAGTCGAAAGACTCTCATGTCTGCACATGTGATTCAACAAAGGCTGTTTCAGCCCCTATAATTATCGTCGACTGTGCATCCGCCTCGTTTGAGCCGGCAGTCGCTCTGCTTTCCGCGGCTCAGAACTGTTTCTTCTTTCTCCACAGCGAAACTGGTTGGACTGCAGCAAACGATACATGGGTTCCATGTGAGCTCCGACCAGCTTGGTAAGCCCATCGGCCGGATTCTCATCGTGGGGCACCCATCGGATGCGCCCTCGCAGTCGCTGTAGTGACTGTTGTATGATCGCGATCTCCAAGGCCGAACGATCATCGTCACCGTGAGACTGTTCAGAATGTAGCGCATCGAAAAGTGATTTGGCGTCCGCGATGGCAATGCTCTTGGGATCCAAGTAGCGCGGGTCCTCTGTCGCCAGCACCGTGGGGGAGTCATTGTCGTCCTCCTCATCCTCGGCTCCTTCGCGAGGATCATATTCTGACCTTGTAGCTCCCATCGCCGTCGACAAAGCAATCGACTCGCAGAGAAGGGTGTTCCCGCCCTTCCTCTTCATTCTTCGCGACTTCCAGGCGATGAGGCTTACGGGAGCTCGCTCTCCACAGTTCAGCGCTGGCGTTGTCATGCCCTGCAGCCAGCCGTGCTGCGGTTTGCATTTCCCGGACGGGTCAAAAGCCGCATCTGAGATAACCACGTGACGTACTTGGTCCTCAGGAATCCGGTGGATCACCATGTCCACTTTGCGGGCTTTCACCACCTGAACCGCTTGGTTCACGGCCAGCACGTCGGCCATGGAAGGTGAAGGAACACAGCCTGCCAAAATGCTCGCGGCTGCTGAAGCGTCAGGGCGACCCTCTCTGGCAGCCCAATTAAGTGCTGCTATCACACCCCTGAGTTGACTCTCCTCATCCGCAGTGAGCTTGGTGGCCTCTGCTGTTTTCTTCAAGACCTTCCGGTTGACGTCCACGTAGCGGAGGCGGTTGTTAACGTAATCGGACATGCTGTAGGTGAAGCCATAGTTCTTGCCTTGCTTCAGCCGTCTTCCAGCATAGCCGCTTCCCGCCTCAGAGTCCATAAGACTAGTCACCTTTCCAAACCGGAATCGGCTTTCCAACTCAAGCATCTTCCGGCGATGTCTTTCCCCACCTGCTTCCAGCACATCATCCACCTCGATGACCACAATGCCTTGCGTGCTCTTCTGGTCCTCCAGCTTCTCCGACGGGTCGGCTTTGAGGATCAAGACACAGCGGTCGTAGGGGCAAACGGTGTAACCCAAATCTTTGACCAGTACCGACAACAACGACCGTCGCCACCACGCCGGCCCCGATACTAGGCCGTAAATTTCGGTCAACAACAAGATCAACTGCTTCGGGTGGTAAGATGGAAAGTGTTCGCAGGAGGGCATTCGGACAGCCAGCTTTTGTTTGCGCGTTGTTGGCATCGATTGGAGAAAAGCCGTCTTGACGTCTCTAACAAATGTTTTCCAGCGCTTGGTGGCTGCTGTCTGCATCGCCAGGTAGATTGATGTCGTCAGCGGAGTCGGTGCTGAGCGCTCGATGGCATGAACTTCCGGGTCTCGCCATCCCACCACTGTCCATCGGGACTTGGGCGCTACCACACCATTGTCGGCGAGGGAGGCATCATAGGCATCGAACTGGTCTGGGAGTGTAGCGCCATCTTCTGAGGGCTTCCACCGGTCCACATAACGGCTGGTCAACATGTGGTCCGGGTGATCTCGTTCAAACTGAAGAGACTCCTCCAAGCTCAGGATCTTGATCGCCCCACTGTCCAAAAGACTCTTGATCTCCTTGTCACGTGATTTCCGGAAGACCTTCTTGAGGTTTTCAGGGAGACGGCGAAAATCAATGTGTCCTGGTGGGTCCACCTTCTTTGACAGGAACATCTTCTTCTCCCGGAAGTTGAAGGTAGCTTGGGCCTCTTCCTTGGAGAAGGTTCTCTTGGACGTGGGAACAGGGAGTTTGCGATTCCGAGCCTTGTCGGACCACCATTTGACCTTGCCGTTGGGGTCGTCATCGTTCGTCACCTCCAGGTAGGCATGAGGTTGTCCCGGAGATGGCCACGATGGGATTGACGAGGTCATGGGATAGGGCAGCGGTGGTTGCCGGGTCTCTCGGATGGGGCCAAAGACCATCTCGCCTGAGCTGGCCTCATCCACTCGAATACTCGATCTTCTAGAGGCTGGTGCCGAAGGAGGTTGTGACGGTGAGGGCTCCGAAGGCATCCGGGTGCTTGCTTCCTCCTCCGTCGGCACGGGCTCTTCAGGGATCGCCGGCATGCTCGGGACTCCATCTGCAGGGGCATGTTCGAAGGGCTGGATCCCTAACTGCTCTGCTTCGTCCCTGGAGAGCTCCTCCGTGTCTGAGGGGGCGTACTCGCTGGAGGCAAATTCCTCAATGTCCTCAATCGGCGGGCCTTCTCCTTGTACATCACGATAATGTTTCAAGGTGCCCTTTTCCAGGTCCTCCAACATACTTTTAGCCAGCACCTTCCGCAATTCAGCTCCGAAACTCTCTTCGCTAGAAGCCAAACGGGTTTGCTCTCGGGAGGCTTTCAAGAGGTATCCCCTCAAACTGATCCACAATGATCGGCCATTCTCTGTCGTCTGGATGACGACTCCCGGACCGGACCATCCACGAAACTCCGGGGTTGTCCTCCACACATAAACGCGGTCACCGGAGTGGATCGGGAGAGCGTCCACGGTCCTTGAGTTGGTCTTCACCGCCCGATTGATGGCCTCGAAGTCCTGTGGCTCCATCCAGGCCTTGGAGGCAGCTTCTCGAATTTCGGCGCTGCACCTCATGTAGTCGCTTTGAGGTGGTTGAAGTAGATCTCGAGCGACCACATCATCCGAAAGCAAGTTGCCCGGAACACGAAGGTTAGTACCGAACACCCTTTGTTGTGGACTATATCCACTCCTGTCGTAGTACCTGTTGTGAGCCATGGCGGTTTCTGCCACGGCGATGCGGTAGTCCACCTCTGTAGTCACCGCGGATTGGCAGACCTTAGCCGCCTTAGCCAGTCAGCCAGTCGAGATTTGAAGATGTCCCCAGCCTTCTCAGTGCGAGAATTCTGCCAAGGGGAAGCCGTGTCAGTATAATGCACGATTGTGCCGTTGTCTGCCATGATGTCCACGAAGTCCTTGCCGGTGAACTCGGTCCCTTGGTCGCAGACCACCATCATCGGAGGCGCATAATGTGCCATCCAGGAGCGCACCGTCGAAGATGTTCGATCCTCAATGAGTTCCACCACTTGGTAGTTCGTGCCCCAGCAGACGACATTGAGAAATATTTTGCGGTCCAGGAAAAAGAGGTCGGCACCCACGACTTCGTTGAAACCCATTGCGCTGGCCGCGAGGTGTGCCGGGCGCTGTTGTGCCGGAGGTTTCTTCTCCTTGCAAATTGGGCACTGGAATTGGCGGCGGATCCAGCGAAGGTATTCCGCTTTCACCCCCGCGTGCTTCAAAGCTCGCACCAGCGTTGCATTGTCCGGATGGCCCAAGTTGCGGTGGAGGCGGTAGATTTCCCTCCTGATGTCCGCTGGCGGTGGTGGTACCTCAGTCTTGGAATCTCCTGGTTCAGGTAATTCATTTCGGACCACAGCCTCATCGACGGAGTCCAATTCCATCGCATGTGCTCGATCCTTTCCACGGAAAACTTGAGCTTCTGACTCACGGAAGGGGGCCTCGGCATTGTCGAGGCCCAAGTCGAAATCGTGAGAAGAGGATGCCGCACGATTCGCACGCGCCTCCTCCCCCAAAATGTTGTGCGATGGAAAAACTGATAGCCACTCTCGTTGAAAAGCAGCTTCGGCAGCCTGGTAAGCACATAGATGATGCGAAACTCCGGCTGCCAACCAGGTTGCATAGTCCTTGTAGGACGAAGGCAAAATGGTTTGGAGTTCCAACTCAAAGAAAGTGATGCCCGTCCACGGTCGGGATGCCGGTGTACCGGAATCCAACCTCCAATTGTCCGTGATTGTTTTGGACGGTTGGCCCACAAAATGTTGCTCCATGATGCGTTTGCCGGTGAACTTCAGGTGGTTGATGTCGAGGGTGCCACATTGTTTTGGAGTGATTGGGTGGAGACGTGGTTGGAAGTGACGACATATCAAATGAAAAGGAGTCACCCTCCAACTGTCCAGTAGTGGTGTGGGTGTCGAACCATCCAACTTCACGTGCTTCCGGATGTCGTCCCGGAGAAACTCCACGAAGATTCCCATGTCATCCTGGAAACCCCCTGAAGTCTTCGGCAATGGTCTTTGATTCATACGCTTCTGAAGCAGCTCTGGCAGAAAGTCCAGGTTGGTCACGAGCATAACCTCCGCGTCCTTCTCGCGACCCCCTTGCTGCAGTCGAAGTACATATACCTCTGGGTGGTCAAGCAACGACTGCATCTCAAACATGGACTCCTGAGACGGATGCTCCAAAATAAAACCACGGTTCGCTGTCAACTGCATCAACGCCAAAGATGTGGTGAACCTGATGTGCGACTTCCTACCATGTACAGGACTGGAAGTTGTAGTGGATCTCGTCTGCGATGTGGCACTATTCGAGGGACTGGAAGTTGTA